CAGATCTCTCCCACTTTCCCACTGCTGTATATGAAACTTGGGTTTATGTTAACTTGGCAATGTTCACACCTGGCCCTCCGGAACAGTGCAAGCAAGGTTAGGTTCATAATAGAGAGCCAAGTGTGGACCTACAGCTATTCAAGGAATGCTACTTTTCCAACAAGGTGACACTCTTCTTTGTGTCAAACTTTTACATTTCAAGGCTCATGAAAAATCACCAATGGAAAGCACAAGTGCTTAGCATTTCTGAGAATCAGTCTAAATTTACAACAGACTGATGGTTTGGGCCTGGCACCAAAACAGGCCTTGCTATCCAGATGCAGTACTAGTCTTTTGTAAAGAATTTGTACTGTCTTTATCCAATTTCCATTCTTAACTATGGCTTCCAGTGAAATGTGTTCAAACTCCACCAACTTTTTTTTTGCCAGACACTCCTCCTAAACAGGATTATTAAATTCATATTCCAAATCTTTCTCCAATCTTACATCTGCTTTCCTCTTTTGAAGCACAATTCTCTTCTGCAACAGAAAGAAAAAAACCTGTTTATAAAGATTGCACATTTCTTGTTTCTCTGAAGTCTTGCACAGCAAAAGTAGAGTGCTCACAGGTGATAGGAACTCTGCATGACTGTGGGGATCTGATAGTGATATCCAAGACCACCGGTAACACTGATCTGTTCTCACCTACAGGAGCACAGAAGCATTATCTCCACACTACATCTTTGCTGAGCTTTGCATAACAGTGTTACCTGACAGACCCTGACAGTCAGAAATCAAGCTTGCCAAAATTACAAGAAACAATTGCATTTACTTTTTCTTCCCCTAGCTGCCTCGGTCCTGCAGCTCTAACAGGTACCAGTGACAATAAGAAACTTGTTTTTGTCACCAAAGCAGGCATACACTGCGCTGAGGCCACTCAAGAACTAGCCTGGTGACTCACACTGGTGACTCAGGACTGGTTATTCCCGCAGAGTTAACTCTCGGTATAACACAAATCTCGCCTCTAACTCAAATGCCGGGTGAAGTTTTCAATTCACCTGAAAAGACATTTTTAAGCTTGACTTGACAAGCTGCTCAGGAGCCCAGTGTTAGCTCAAGGCCTGTGGCCTTTGGGGCTGGCTCTTCATGTCTTGCAGGCTGCGTGCTTGCCTCGCAGTAGGATTGCCCTCACACTAGCTAGAGGAAACCCAAGACAACACAAGAATTCCACACTTGGGTTAACTTTCCTCTGAAGGCAGGTATGCAGAGGCACCATTTCTCCAGTCCCATTCCTGAGACTGTTAAATTGCTGAGCTTTCATTTTTGTCTGAACTCTCTCCACCCTCTTCAATCTCTTCAAAGACAGCCTTTCCATCACCTGTGTTAACAGGCCCCCCCAAATTCCGTGCTGCCTCTGAACACCCACAACTGATGAGCCTCTCTTGCAGCTCTTGGTGTACTGGGTGAAAAAGCCATCATGCTCTATCACTCCCATTACCACTTGTCATCCAACTGCTTACATAAGCCTGTGGCCTCTGAAATAAAAACATTTGCTTGCACTTGGGTAGAACTGGTTGGTTGGAAGAGAACTTGAGGAGAGAAGTGATCGGAAAAACAGTCACAGAAGCAAGCTTCCAGAATGTGGCTTTTTCGTTTTCCTTTCAACTTCGCTATTTCCTTTAGTCAACCACTGCTTCCCCATCAAGCAAAAAAAGTTTCAACCAGCAAAGTCAATTTGTTTAACATTTCCACTTAACTTTCAGCAGACAGGACTACCATAGCACACTGTAATCACCTATTGTTTTGCTAAGCATAGATCAAGACAACATAAGTAACTGGGAAAAAAATTCACCCTGTGTTGAGCACATTGATTTAAATTTGCTACTGCATGTATAAATAGGTCTCAAGAACCTGGTATTTCTAACATGCCAATTATCTTTGTACTGTGGTACCCCACTCATTATCAAAAATAGCTTCACTTCAGACAGAAAAAATCATGCTTTTCTTCTTGTATGTGGCTTTCTCAAATGGGTTTATTCTCATGGGCAGTAGAAGGGATGTTTTAGCTCATCTTCAGTGTGATTTTTGGAAAAGACAGTTTGTGCATATGCACAGTCCCCCCATAGGCAGTTAGACCATGGGCATCAGTTTGGGCCCGTGGAAGTATTTAGGCTGGTGAGCACAGACAAACAGCTTCCAAAGTGCCAAAATGAGCTCAGCTGAATGAGCCAGGCCAGGAAAGACCTACAATTTATTCCTACCACCCTAATTTTGATGTGATGAGGTTGATAGGCTCAACCATTCACATAGGCGTTCCTGATCTCAGAGACTGTAAAAAATAGTTTTGTAAAAATCAGGTGCCAAAAAGCAGTTAGGATGCACATGTGGACAAGGGAGGGGATAACATTTCCCTCTGGAACAGAGGTTGTGGCTCCATTTATAATAATGCTACCAACAGAGAGGGGTTTATCCCATCACAAGAATAATTTTGTAAAAGAAGTGCACACTTCTGCACTCATAAAAATTATCCCAAGTTGAACCAACCTCTGGAACCCCACCTGCCATTTTGGTGGTGGTTCTCTTTCCCAAACCTGTATTTTGTAAGAAGGTAAACCTATAAAACACACTCCAGCACTCAGTTGCCAGACAAAGTTTTTGAGCTGGAGAGAAAAATACACTGTTGCTGCTTCCCCTGAGAAATGCAATAGGAAAAAAATATCCCAGTGTATACCTTGCTTGGCTGTAACATGGGAGGCCTGAGTTTCATGACCTATTTATTTACCCTCTGGAAGTAGTCCTTGGACCAGAGGTTAGCATTCAGTGAATGTACCAGCTATCAGGCTACAGAGCTGTGACCTTTTTCAGTGGCCCAGGAGTTCTGCTCAAAAAGTCATGAATTCTTTTAAAAGCGGTACTGTCTTAAAAGGAGCGTGGAACTCATCCATGGGACACCAAGTACATTGTTGTCCTGACATCTCACTGGTTGCCCCTGCAGGGTGAAGGCCTCTGGTCAGAAACAGGCGTTGCCTGCCTCATCAGAGGATGGTGGCAGGCCTGAAATTCCTCAGCCTTCCTCTCCAAAACAGAAGTTTGAAGGAACCACTTTGCAACCACAGGAGTACAGAGCATCCTTCCAGCAGATGGGACATGTCAGTTGGGCTTTTCTCTGGGAAGGAGAGTTTAGTACTCTGACCTTCCCACTTCCCATCCAAATGATCCATCCTTGCCACATCCATGACATGCCACAAGGACAGGCACACCAGTGCCTTTTGTTAAGAAAGACAGCACCAGAGTAAAGCTCAAGAGAGCTGACTGGTGAGAATGACCATCTCAAAATAGCAATTACCTCCCTAAGAAGATGCGATCTGGAAAACATTCCTTTCCTCCATCATTTCCCATCCTGCTTCCTGCTCAGGATGCTGCCCATCCAATGTCCCTACCACGCAAGTAGCACATCCCAGGGATGTGGCCTCTAAATCTGGAGGTTGTGGCACTTAGTGTCAGTAGAGACTGAAGGTTCAGAGATCAATACAAGTCACAGAGCTCAGTTCTAAAGTCTTTGAATGCTCAAAAGGTCAGTTTTGAGAGGAACATGAATCTGGATCCATAGCTTCCTCCAACAATAAGATTAGGTTCTCCTTTCTGCTCGAGCCTTTTTTTTTTTTTTCTTTTAAACATCAAATTAGTAAGGTTTTGATAAAATTGTAGGGGATATTGCCATATTTTGTGACAGTTTGGGGTGGTTTGTTAATCATCTACCAACTGTAAATGGAATGTAATAATAGTCATTGTAATGCTTTATGAAGAAAGTGCGTGCTGTTATCTTGCAACAACCATATGTTCTGCTGTTTGTATGTATCTGTTATCCAACCCTTACATAAGCCGTTGATGAATTTATCATCACAGGACAAACACACTCCTAGCACGGTTGAGTTGATCAAAATAAAGTAATGAAGAAATGGAGAAGCGTTTTGCTGAGGTGAGACTGGTCACTCACCTTCCCTAAGCAGCAGCTGCAGAAGGAGGCAGCGTGCAGACCTGCAGTCAGCTGCACAACTGCCATCACTTCGGGGACGACAGGGAATGCAGAGATTTGGGGCTTGGGCTATATAGTAGAGGGCAAAATAAATACCTGTGCTTTCTCTGGTGTAGGGGAGAGGGAAGAGTTGAGGAAGGGGCTGAGGGAAAGGTGGGGAAGGGGGGTGCTTTAATGGCTTAGGGAAGCTGTGAGATGTAACTTGCATACACAGAGGCACTCGCACGCCTCAGACTGCAGCAGGGGCAGCAGGGGCAGCAGGGGCAGCCCAGGCTTGCTGCACCGTGGGACGCGCCGTCGGCAGCCAAGAGCTTCCCATATTCCCGCCTCTCCTCCCTGCCCACCGGGCACCTACCACCAGCGCCTGCCCCGGACACCAGCCCCCACCCGGGAAAACCAGCAGGCAGCGCCCGGACCGCTTGGCACGGCACGGCTGCGTCCCGGTGCCGCTCCCGGTGCCGCGGGTGGGTCGGGCCGAGCCGCAGCCCCGGGTCCGGTGCGGCCGGTACGGCGCTCCGAGAGCCATGTGCCGTGTACTACGGGCACAGACTCCACCTTCCTCCGCTCCCGCCCGCCCCCACGCATCCAGGAAGGGAAAAAGGAGGAGGAGGAGGGAAGGGGGTGAAAGGGAATTTAAAAAAAAAAAAAAAAAAAAAAAAAAAAAGAGAGAGAGAGGTTGAAAGGAGGGAGCTCGCCGAGACCCACCCTTCTCCCTCCTCCTCCTCCTCCTCCTCCTCCGGGCTGCTGGCCGGGCTTTTGTTTTCCTCCAGCGCCCCGTTTCCCACACGTGATTGCCGTGTTATTGCACAGGGCGCTCGGCGGTGCGGCTGCTGCACCTATAAATACGGAGCGGGCGGGCGGCGGGGGCCCGGGGCAGCGCGGCGCGGCCGGGCGGAGCGCACCCCCCGACACCCCCATGCACCTCGCCGGCACCGCGGCGCCCCTGCCCCGCCGCCCGCCCGCCTGACGGGCCGGCAGCGAGAGGCAGCGCCCGGCCAGCGCCGAGGGGAGGGGGAGCCGGCCGACAATGGCGGCGGCCGCCACCGCCGCCAGCCCCGGCAGTCCCGCCGCCGGGCCCCTGCCGCCGGCGGAGCCCTGCCCCAGGAAAGCGCCGCAGCCGCCGCCGCAGCCGCCGCCGCCGGCGCGCAGCGACCCCCGGCGCAGGCAGGCCGCGCTCTCCTTCCTCACCAGCATCTCCCTCGACGGGCGGCCCCCGCCGCCGGGCAACGACGGCCCCGCCGCCCGGCCCCGCCAGGCGCCGCTGCTTCCGCCGCCGCCGCGGCTGGGCAGCCCCCCGGCGGCGCCCGCAGAGCCCCCGGAGGAGGAAGAAGACGAGGAGGAGGAGGAGGACGCCTTCGCCGCTGTGCAGGTGCCGCCCGCCGCCTTCCTGGGAGCCGCGGCGGCAGGCAGCCGTGGCCGCCTCAACTCCTTCACGGCGGGGGTGCTGCCGGCGCCCTTCGGCCGCACCAGCCCGCAGGGCATCGCCGGCGGCAGCGGAGAGCTGGGGCAGCCCGGCTCCGCCGCCGCCTTCGAGCTGCAGCGATCCCGGTAAGCTGCGCCGCGGCGATGAGAGATGCGCGGGATGCGGGGATGAGGGATGCGCGGGATGAGGGATGCGCGGGATGGCGATGGGCTCGCCGCTCGGAAAGGACTTGCACGGCCGCCGGGGGAAGCGGTGGGGAGGGAGGCCCGATAGCCGCCGTGCGGGAGCCTCGCTCCGCGGGGCTGGGGGAGCAGGGGCAGGGATCTGCGAGGGTGCAGGGGCGGGTCGGCGGAGGTGCCCGAGCCTCTCGGGTCGCACCAGCCAGTCAGTCAATCGTTCCCGCCTGGGCGCAAGTGGCTGAAAGTTTCTCTCTTGCTCAGCAGTGCGGGCATGAGGCTGCACAGCCACCGTGCCCCGCTGCAGCCCAGCCCAAGGTGCGGAGAGGTTGTCACCCTGTTCGCATGGCTGGTGGCGGATTCAGCCCGCCGTGCTACCTGTCTTATAGGCAGCAGGCTGGGAAGCAGCCCCGAGCCAACTGCGCCGTATTCAGGTCTGTAGCCCACACGGGGAAAGGAAATCTTTGCATCGACATCCGCGGATTACGGTGCGAGCGCATGGTTTAAGCAGCGTCTCGCTACCACCCCAAATAAGCTCTTTATCTACAAGCACTTCATATTCCTCTGGGCTGTTTACTGCCGCTGGGTACTCTTTTGCCATTTAATTCCCAAGAATTAAAACCTCACCGGCTTGAAAAGATGAGATTTTTGGCTAAGAAGGTACAATCATGTAAAAATGTGCAAATGCATGAGGATTAATTGCTCCACGGGTACAAAATCACCTTCCTTCACTTCCTCAATAACATACTCAGATATCAAAGACGGGAGGGGAGGGAAGAAGCAGAGAAGAAGCTGGAGGAAATGACTGTGTTCCCTAAGCCCACATCGGCTGCCACTCCCACATTCCCCATTTGCCACACTCCCTTCTTGTTCCTCCCTTGGACAAATAGGTAAACTTTGAGTCACATGTTATTGCAAGGGTTTATAAGGGTAATTGAGCATAGATCGCTGTAGAAAAGTCCCTCTCAAAACTAACCAGGTTGGAGAAATTGGAGGTATTCCAGGAGAAAGTTGTCTTTGCTGCATGCCCCACTGTTGTTTGAGTTTTGCCCCTTCCATCTGGATTATACTGGTGGCTTTTCAGGTGCCGTGCTAGGGAGCTTCACATTGCCAAGTAAAATGCCTGCTGGTGGGCTACCACCCTTCTTCTCCCAGTCATGTGTCTCTCAAAACATTTTCTGCAGTGACAACCCTCTAGTTGTGTTGTGGATCAACAGCACAGCAGTATGACACACACATGCTCATGCATTTTGGTCTGACATGGTTCTGCCCTCAGCCTTAAGTGACCCAGAGACCATGATTTGGGGATTGATTTTCTACTCTTGAACTTTTTCCTTCTTGGTGATACTGCACATGGCAGTACCCTCTTAGTGTTCAAGAGGCTGTATTCTGCCTGGCCTTCTAGTTAGTGAGTTTATTATTGATGCAGGATTCCTGAAGGTTACCTTTCTAGATTCCCATGGATCCTCTTGGGTTTTTCTTGCTTGCAAGCTTTGATCCTGGCCTCAGCTCTAGGAGCAATCAAGTAATTATTTTCCCTTGCCCCTGTTTGCCACTCTGAATGTTTTCTTCCACAACTGGTAGCTTTTTTTTTTTTTTCTTTTCTGTTACATGAGAACAGTTTGGAGTTTAAGAGGGGAAGGTAATTACTGTTCACGTGTACAGCCTAGAAGTTCAACATCTTACAAGTTCAGCTGTGCTGCTAACATGCAAACAGATTGAGTGGATAACCCAAGTCCACGCCAAGGGAAATCACCTAAGGAAACCTTGTCAGGATGCTCCGCCACTCCCCTATAGGGGCCGTTGTTTGTGCTGTATGTTTTATTGTGATGTAGGATATAAGGAAAGTGCTCATTTTCTCATGCTCTTTGGTTTTCTTGAGAGCTAGATTTAGCTGTGGCGGAGACCTTGCATTACTCCACTGCCAAGTGTGAGGCTCTCCACTGTAGCAGTTGCTTACAGCTAACACTGGTGCAGGAGGGCTCTGGCTAATGTCCTTGCCTTTACTGGCTGTTGTGACCCTGCACGTGTGCAGCCCAGGGCAGACTTTGGCCTGCCTTCAATAGATTTCTTTCTGTTCTGGAAAAGCTATATATTTTTAAATATCAGGATGGACAGCTGCAGACCATGGAGGTTGTACGGAGCGTTTAGCTACTCATCATCTTAATGAAAAGATGTGGTAGAGGCTCCAATTGCTGGGTTTGCTCTTGGCTGCACAGAAGATAAATCACAGGCATGCACCGGGCTGGTGCAAGCCCAAGAACAGAGGGTTCGAGCAGACCTGCTACTGCTCTCTTAACGGAGAGGAAGGAGCCAGATCCTCAGCACACTGCCAGCCCTCCTCAGGGCAACAGGGTGGAAGTCATAGCAACTGCCCAGAGACAGGCATCAGCTCACCTGAAGGACGATGCGGAGAAAAAAATCAGAGATTTGGGTTTGGTAGTTTGTGTGTGCACCTGCTGCCTTTCCTCACAGCCTTCTGCTCTTCTTGCAGTGAGTTTGAAATTGCATGTGTGGTTTGACAGATTAGTCCTCTATGTTGAGACAGGTAGGTTACAATGTGAAATATTTTTCTGTTACAGTATCAGGCAAGACAGGCTGTCTTATGTTGTTATTTTTCTTTAGTTTTCAGAAACCATTGTGAACATATAATCAGAGTTTCCTGGCTTTTTTGTTTGTGTTAGCAGTTTGTATAATTGCATACTAGTTTATATTTAACAAGGTTATCATTAATGTGGTTTGGGTTTGTGCTCTATGTGTGTTCACAAGAAACAAACCATACAAAAAAAGAACATGGAGCTTCTAGCTGCTCAGAGGCTAGTGTGTAATTATATGTAAATGACAAAAAAAAAAAAAAGGTTTGTTCAGAAGTCAGCTTGTTGGTGCCAAAGGCTCCTGTCTCATGCAGAAGGAGTTTGTTTCAGTTTGTGGTGAATGAGTGGATGAGGACACAAGGTTACTAGAAACTAGGGCCAGGTTCTGCCGGGGTTTCTTTCATGTCAAATTATAATTAATTTTCATAGCTTCATCTTAAATTAACGAGTAGCTCTGTGAGGCGAAGTTTCAGCAACACTGGTTTAAAATCATTTCACATCCTCTGGTGTGATGGTCCCAGGTAGTTGTTTTTGTGTATGCCTAGAATTCTTGTTGCCATAGTTTTCTTTGGGGAAAGTACTGCTGTTTCTGTATGTGAAGTTTCCTTTTCCAGCAGGCCAGGTGGTTAGAAACAAGCGCATTCTTTTTTGGGGGTTGTTTGTTTTGGTTTTCTGGTTTTGTTTTTTTGTTGTGGTTTTCTTTTTTTTTTTTTTTTTCTGTTTTGCTAAGGAAGCAAATTGGTGATTGGATTTGGAGTCTAAACATTGCTTACAGTTCATTGTCTGTGTCACTGTATTAGGTTTGAATGCAAATGGGCAGGAGAATTCCTTCTGGGAGCAGTGGTTGCTGGGAGGGAAGGAGAGAATATCTGCTGAGTAATTGCTGGGGAGAGGTCCACTCAAAAGGACATTGAAGTTATCAGGGCCAAATGGATTTTTCTTCCGAATTTATTGACCTACAATAATTCTCATTTCCTGAGTAATTCTAAATAATTTTATTAGTAGTAAAGCTTGTGAAGATTCAGTTTCTACCTATTGGAAAATACAGAGGTGCATATGACCTCAGTATTTATATTCTGGAAATATGTAATGGAGGCGGGTGCTGGAATAGTTCACTTGCCTGGTTTTTGTAGGGCTTGAAAAGTTCCTTGAGTTGTTAGTGCTGGAGGAAACCTTCAGGAGTTGAATCCCACCATTTAGGATTTGTGGTGGAGGGCTGAGAAATCAAAACCCTATTCTCTGTGGCCTTGGGCAGGCAGGCAGTACAGTCTCAGCCCACCACAGAAGATGCCTCCAAAATGAACATACCAGAGACAAAAGAAAAGTCTCTCAGAAACAAGTGTCGTACAGGCAGAGTCCTGAAAGGGGAGCAGAACAAAGAGCTGGGGGCACTGTCCTTGCCATGGGGTCATCCCAGCATCAGGAGTTGGCTTGTGAGCTGCTGGAAGCACACCGGATCTTTTGTGTGTGATGGACACTCTCCATTCACTGAACCTAAAGCCCTTCAGGCAGCCTGGATTTCAGAGTGATGTATACAAGCATAGCATGAAAACAGTGATTTAATGGTCTGAGAAGTGAATGGGAAGTGCACATGCTGAACTAAGTCTTTTCATAGGTGTGTGACCCTGTAATAATGGCCAGTCTTCGCAAGCGAAGATCCGGGGAAGGTCTTTACACCTTCCAGCCTGCGCATTGGATTTTTTAGGTGAGACACAGTGTGCGCGGAACTGAGCCCACCCTTTAATCCTAAGGTTCATCTGCCGGGGCCAAGCGAGCTTGGACGGTGGCAGCGAGGTCCTTAGGACGTAGGTGGGTTGCCTTTAAGGGCTAACGAGCCCCACCTGCCCGGGAGTGGCCCTGACCGGGAATCGAACCCGGGTCTCGGCGGTGATAGCGCCACGCCTTTACCACTAGACCACCAGGGGCTGCCTGTGTGACCCTGTATACCGCTGATAGCTGCTGCCTCTAAAGCGGGGGATGCTTATTGAGTTCAGCTGTCACTTCAGGAGGCTAAATGACCATCCTGTGCCAGCCTGAAGGGGGAATGTTCAACAGGCTCAGGTAATAAGGTAATAAGGGCTGTTTCAGTAGTAGCACACAGCATACAAGCTCCTCCATGAGCCCCTTAAGGGACACTGAGCACACCCACATCCTTTAGCATGAGCACACTGAGAGGCTGGGTCTTCATGGTCACTTAGAGCTGTGCAGGAGCAGCCTCTGACTACTAGTGGCTTTGCTGAGCTGTGTGCATGCTGAGCATGGCCAGCCCCACACTGCATGGACTGGTATCCACCACCATCGGTCTCTGCCAGCCTTTCTGCTTGTTCAGGGCACAGGCTTGTGCCTCCCTCTGTT